AGCGCGTTTCACTCTAGTGAGCTTCATGTTCCTCTGCTACTGGTTTGGCTTCCAGATAGACGAGTCCGAGTAGCGCCATCTCACTGCGGAACGGAGTCCCCCCTGGTTTTAGACGTACAGTATGAGCAGGTAGATCGCATCAGAGCGTCGGGTCGCACAGCGTGAGAACAAACATCATGAACTGTGAAATTTTAAACCCTGCGGTTTCATCGTAGTGTGAGCTGTAGCTGCGTGCAACGATTGAAAAAATCGTACAGTATACGCCCGGCATTAAGGTGAAATATGAAAGGAGATATTATGGTAAAAATGTATGCTAAGATTAGCTTAATAAATCAGATAAAAAAAACGGATATATGTTTTATTTTTAAGGCAAGAGTTTATGTGGAAATATTTTTGAGTTTTAAATTCTGTGTGATGCTAACGAGCAAAGCTGAAGTTAGCTCGTTGGCTTAGCAATTAGCTTTTCAAAAAAATCTTTCTATTAAATGATTGCTTATCTCCTTTACTTCTCGTAAAAGTCAACATATCAAACCTTAAACTAGTTTTAATTTTTGTAAATCTTATCAAGGTTTACTCAGACATTGTAGAGCTTTACGTTAATGTGGATGTGAGTAAAGCTACACTGTAAAAATATATATAAATAATATTTCAGTGAGGGCTTTGTTCACATTTTATTTATTGATTATTCGTAATTTTTTCTCTGTTGAGTTTGTTTCCATTTACCAATTAAAATAGTACTGTATTTATTGAAGTCTGACTCCTATGCTAGTTATGCTATGCTATGCTACGCTAAGCTATGTCCATTACAGTTGCAATAGTGTCAGTCACCCTTTTTCTTATTTGGTTTTACTGATGATTAATAAACTAATCTTTTAAGGCTTTCTCCCGAACAACTAAAAAAAGCCAAGTATTGGGTAATCGCTGTAGTCTCTCTTTTAAAATTCCAAATCTTTCTCCTAACAAGAGACCCTAAAAAGACAAAAAAAAAGAAAATTAAAATAATCATGATGCGAACAATGTTTTAGCTCATATTTGTTCCCTAATCTATTTCAAAGTAGTGTTACCCTGTTTGACTCGTTAAAAATTCCTCATCAGATTTCAACAAAAAATTAGCAACTGGTAAATAATGGAGTTGCTTAAAATCCACTTAAATTTATTTGCATTTAAATAAGCTTCAGAATAATCATCTGTTAGATATAAGATTATATTTTTCTTTTATATTTTATTTTTTTTTTTCCAGCTGTAATTTCACTACAGATTTCTGTTTTTTTTTTTGCACATCTGACATTCCATACAATTCTTTTTTTTTTTTGCACATCTGACATTCCATACAATTCTGCTTTCTGGCTGCAAAATTACGTTTTGAATTTATAGCTTAGTTTGGCTGACAGCAGACTTGGCAGCTTTCTGTATTTAATCATTTAAAATGTATTTTTTGGCTTGTCAGTTTCTAGACTAATGATTCCAATCAAAACAATGGAGAAAAAGAATCCTGTAAATACAGTTTACATACCATGCCAGTGGAGGGAAAGCGTCCTTTGTTGATCATTTCTGATTAACAAACCTGGTGACTTATAGCTCCTGCTTGAGTTCCCAAACTTGAGTCGTTGTTTTTTGATCCTCAAACCGAGCCTCACAAGGCCTCAGCATCATAATGGGATTAGGTTGTAATCCAGCCACTTCCTCTACAAAGCAGTGTGAGAGGCCAACGTCCACGCTCTCCCAAACACTAAGCCATTATTATAACCCACAGAGAGGCATTATATGGACACGCTGCATATCAATGAGCCTGCTCAGGTCAGCTTGTGACCCTTTGTTATTATGCAGAGGCTGGCTGGCAGTCAGATGCTCTAAATCAAAGAAACAATCACAAGATTTGGATTTTTTTTCTTCTCCATAAACTAAAAAGAAAAGTAATTTCATTACACCTACTGTTGCACTTTTCATCCAACCTCTGTTACTGTAGGGCTGATGGGTGATCAGATGAGTCTTCCAGGTCATGCCTCTGTTGCTTTGTAAAGTTTACACTTTTAAAACCATAGAGTAGGCATGCAATGTGAAACCTTTGGCTCAGAAATATGATTTAAAGTGGTAAAAAAAGCTGCTAATATGAAAACTTATTCACCTCTGAGTTAAGAGTTCATCACAGGATTCTTGCCTCACTGGTTGGATGATCATGAATGAGAGAAACATGGCTCTTCTTCAGTCGTAGGGCAAATTAAAGATTCATATTTAAATAATCATTGTTAAAAAGTTCAGGTTTAAATCAAACCATGATTCAGTTCTGTGTCATCCTGGTAAAAAAAAAAAATGATGTATTGACCTCCATTCCTGTTTCGACCCCCAGTAACGATTAAACTTAAAAAACAAAGTACCTGGACTTCAGTTTATGCAGTGGGAAATGTTTTGTCCTTCATTCGAAGGGCTTTGCGGTTTAGAGCCAGTGAGCGATCAGCACTGCGCTGTTTGGGAAGCGCTGTTCTGCTTCTCCATTGTTCCTTATAATGGTGTCTAGAAATTTTTGGTCAGGGGCGAATAAATGTGAATTTATATCAAAGTAAAGTTAATATTCTACTTTACCTTGAAATAAAGTAAAATAGAATATTAACTTTACGTTGCAACCCACTGCTAATCACTGCTCAGTGGGTATCACAGCAAGAAGGTTCTGGGTTTGATTCCCGGCCTGCGGTCTTTCTGCATGGAGTTAGCATGTTCTCCCTGAGCATGCGTGGGTTCTCCCAGGGTACTCCGGCTTCCTCCCACAGTCCAAAAACATGACTGTTAGGTTAATTGGTTTCTCTACAGTAAATTCTCCTTAGGTGTGAGTGTGAATGGTTGTTTGTCCTGTTTGTCTCTGTGTTGCCCTGCGATGGACTGGAGACCTGTCCAGGATGGACCCGCCTTCTGTCCAGAGTGGACCCCGCCTCTCATCCACACTGCAAAAAAATAAAATCTAAATACCGGTAAGTCATTTTTTCTTAAAACAAGTGCATTTTTTCTTGAATTAAGTATGTAAGTGAGACACTTTGCCAATGGAACAAGACGATTTACACTTAAAATAAGAAAAAAAACAATTGCATTGTCTTATTTCAAGTGCATAATATCTAGATACCTTATTTTAAGAGTAATTGTCATTCCTTTGGCAAATCATCTTATGTACCTGCTCAAATTAAGGGTAAATACTCTTAATTTAAGACATTTTTACTCATTTTGAGGTCATTATTGCAGTGCATAGACAGCTGGAGAGAGGGACCAGCACCTCTCGCCCCAGAAAGGATCCAGTGTGATGGAAAATGATGAATGGATGAAAATTTTTCATTTTAAAGTTTGTTTTAATAATCAAATACCATAATCTACCTAGTTTGCTAACATCTACAAATCTAGTTCTTTTTTTAAATCTCATATTAACCTTTACTATATATTAACATATATTTACTTCCTGGAAAGTAATTCTTGGTTTAATGCCTCTCAATCATATACATTTTATTTCTTTCTGCTACAATTTG